TGTGAATGTGGCTAGCAGTGTTTTTCTTGCAGCAAAAAAAAAAGATGTTTACTGAGGCTCCACTGTGTGGCAGGTGGGGTGAGAGGCTAGGGATGCTACAGTGACAGAGGCAGATAATTTAATTACAGTGTGACGGTGACCAGGGCCCTGATCACCTTTGACTCCACAGACCCCACTGCATTCCCAAGTGTGCTCAACCACAGGGTAGGTCGGGAGCTACAGAGTCCCTCAGCACCAGATCTTATCTGCAAGAGCCAGGCAGTTCGGCCCTTCAATAGAATCCCTCCATCTGAGAAAAGACAAGAGAAAGGGGTCTCAGGAGGGATGGGAGGAAAGACAAGAATTTCCAGCCCAGGTACTCATGCCACTCAAGCTCTGGCAAAGTGGCTGGGGTTAGAGGGGAACCAGGGAAGGGCACCAGAGCTTCTTAAAGTCACAGTCATTACTCACTTCTCTTACACTCACTTAAACTCAGCCCTATCCTGTGACACTGTGATGTAACAAGTCCAAGTGTGGTTTTCCATCTGAGGGTCCCCATCCGAGCCTTTCTAAAACCCTTGGAGTCATCCTTGGGATGAGGCATTGTCTCCGGCAATGGGATGACTGGTGGCCAGGGACCCATGGCTAGCATCGAGCAATGTGGGGTGCTGTGTTTTGCTTTCTGATATGAGTGCGCTCTGGCTGGGCTCGGTTAGTCTCTGTCTGTGTCAGTGAATCTACAGGTGCAGAGCTGCAGTTAGCCTGAAGCCACTAAGTGCAGACAATAAGAAACAGGGACAGAGGCTACATCTCCTGAAACATTTCCGGGACATGTGCTTAACCTTGGGTTCTCAGAAAGACCTTGGATTCTTGGAAAGTCCCAGGAATGTGAGAGTGCTTATCACAAGAAACTATCCCATTCCAGGATGGATCCTGCTTTTCTTTTACAGCTCATGCAGTATGCTGATTGCCCCAAATTGGTTTCTGTGCATAGAATTGGAAGGACCTGTTTGCCTGGTTCAATTGTTTGCTACTAGACAGGGTGAAGCACTTACTGACTGAATAGTTTAGAGTGCACGATGCTTAAATTAATTTGGTATCTGTTTTATGCCACTATAGTTGACTGCATAATTTGTATTGTGGACTGATATAAGCTTGGTTGATAGAATGATTTGTATCATGCACCAGAGCTCTCTTAGTTGATTGGATAATTGTTCCTTAAAAACCCTTGAACACAGCTGATTGGGGCTGCTCCCTTCTTCCACTTGCACTGGTATGGGACAGTCCACTGGTTGGTGCCAGTTGGTGAATAAAAACTCCTGGATTTCTAGAAGTCTGCTTCTGACTCATATTTAGGGAGGATCTCACCAACTACAACTCAGACGGGACAAAGGCCAAGTCAAATCAACTCTTGTCAGCACACCCTAACACCCTACGCTGCTGCTGCCTTCTCAGCCTCTTGCTGATAGTCCACTCCTTGACCCCTCTCTTGTCTCTCCTTTTACCACCAATCTTCCTGTTCTCTCTCCTTTACTCTGGAGCTCCACTGCTTCCCTAACTTGGAAATACAGTGTTTTGTATTCTTTTCTGTTTGTTTTATTTTGAGAAGCAGACGCAGACAAAGAGACCCAAATGGTCTCACGGGTCAAAACCTTGGGCTGGGGCCTGGCAGCATGGCCTAGCGGCTAAAGTCCTCGCCTTGAACGTGCCAGGATCCCATATGGGCGCCGGTTCTAATCCCGACAGCTCTACTTCCCATCCAGCTCCCTGCTTGTGGCCTGGGAAAGCAGTTGAGGACGGCCCAAAGCCTTAGAACCCTGCACCTGTGTGGGAGACCTGGAAGAAGTTCCTGGATCCTGGCTTTGGATTGGCATAGCATCGGCCGTTACGCTCACTTGGGGAGTGAATCATCGGACGGAAGATCTTTCTCACTGTCTTTCCTCCTCTCGGTATATCTGATTTTGTAATAAAAATAAATGAATCTTTAAAAAAAAACAAAACAAAAAAAACCTTGGGCTGAAGTCAGGAGCTGAGAGCCCAGTGCAGGTCTCCCGGATGAACGGCAGGTGCCCTGGCACCTCAGCCATCAGAGCTGCCTCCTCAGGATCTATGGTAGCAGGCAGCTGGAATTGGGAGCTAGAGCCAGATTTGAGTCCAGGTGTTCTACCGTGGCACATCAAACCACCTAGGCCCAACACTGTCCCCTCACCTTTTTTTCAGCTATTTTTAAATTTTTGATCATCTTTACATAGTAAATTAGGGCACAAAGGTTCAGGGGCTACAGGAAAATTGGTAAGACTATTATTTCCTCATCATTTTCTTCCTGTATCTGGGGTAAAGGGGGAGATAAAGGGAGAAGCCCCACACAGTCTCCCAAACATCCCAGGCCCCTGATGTGGGGCATGCTCCGAGGGTCCTGCTCAAGTGGTTTGGACAGTTCAACAGTTCTGAATTGCTGCCAGTCTCACCATTCCAGGCACGAGGAGGTCGCTAAAGAATCCAATGATTGACACAGTCCATTTTAGAGTCTCCATTTGCCCTGTCTTTCACTGCCAACATATGGCAGGGGTAGTTGATTTGTTCTGTCCTCTGACTTTTCATGGTTAGGGTTCTGAGTCTGGCAGTTTGATTGGGGAGATTCCCAAAGAAACTTTGTCTGAGGTGTCCCCAGACCAGATTCTTGTGTGTACTTGGCAAGTACAGGACCCAGTACAGTCCACTGCCCCAATCAGCTGGTGGTTGCAATTGCTGGGTCAGTTCTGTTTCCAGCCCTGTCTTCACTGGAACCAATGGGTATTGAAGTCCAGCCTGATTCTACCCAGCATACACTCGGCCCTCACATAAACCAGTGGGAGCTGCAGCCTAGTTGGAACGACCCACAATAACCCCCACCAGGCCTGCCCCCTGCCCTGGTTCCCATGCTTGCCAGTATGTGCAGCAGACTTGCTCAGTCTGTCCCACATTCCATTCAGCTCTCATATATGTCAATGGGCATTGAAGCCTAGTTTAACCTAACCAGCTCAACTATCTAGCTCACACACATGCTGTTGGGTTCCTTTCTGTCTTGCTACCCCTTCCCCTGTCCTGGTTTTCATGCTCTCCAGTGGGAGTGGTAACCCAAAACAGCCCACTATTTCCCTTCTAGGCCACTCCCAGTCCCAGATAATGCCCTCTCCAGGTGGTTCTGGAATTCAACTTGACAGATTTAGCCTCTAGTGCCAGCCCCTGCCAACTGACACCATGGCAAAGCCCAACCATCCCTCACCCACTCCAATTTCTGCTTGTACCAATTCGAACAGTCAGCCCAACCTAGCTTCTCCCTGATCTAGTTTACATGAGGCCCAAGGGTTTTGTAACCCTGCCTGGCCTGGTCTGCCTCCATCCCAACCCATGCTCCCCAGTGGGAGTGGCTGTCCAACAGGGGAGCCCTCCACATTCCTCCTGCCAGCTCCGCCCCCTCCCTCCCTGGTTCTCACGTATGCTGTTGGGCGCTGCGGCCACATCTGGTATGGGTCACCTCACCTTGGCATTCCGTAATGTGCACTGGTTTTTGTCACGACTGAACCTGGCTTGACCCACACTCTGTTCCGGTGCTCTGATTTGTCAGTGGGTGATGTGAACTGATTCAGCCTGGCTCCTCCATCAGAACCCCTCCCAATGCCAGATTTTGTGCATACCAGTGGGTCCATGAGTCAGCACCACTCAGTTTACCTTCTGTCCTAGTAGGAACAGTGGCCTTTCCTGACTGGCCTTCAACTCAATCTGGTTCTTACTGTTGGATGTTTCAGCCCAGCCAAGGTTCGTCCGTATCCCCACACAGCTCACACATGGCTCGGTAGGGGCTGAGACCTAGCCTACATCTTCCCTTGTCCTTCAGAGCACCAGATGGTGTTGGAGTCTAGCCAGGCTTGGCGCGTCTAGTCCCAGTCCACATTTGTGCCAAGGGAGACTACAGCCATATCCAGATCAGAATGCAGCCCCCATTCCAGCCCCTGCGCTCCTTGGTGGGAACCTCAACTCAGCTAGGGCATCCCCTTAGCTCCCCAACTGGGCCAGTTCCCAGCCACAGATCATGCACATGCCAGTGGTTGCTCTGACTCAGTTTGGCACAGCCCCTCGCCTGTCCCGGCCCCTGCCTGAGATGCTGTAGCTTAGCGTGTCCCCTAATCTTAATCTATAACACAAATACATATGTGTTTTTAGGAAAAAAGGGTTAATGCTTTTGAATTCAACATTCTATACTTCTGTCATGAAAAAACCAAAAAGCCTCAAGGTAAAGTAAAAATCAGCTTTAGCTTATTTATGTATGCTCTGCAAAGCTTACTGTGTTATATAAACAAATGGTGTTACAACTGTGGATCGGCTGTCAGTGGATTTCCTTGTGTGGCTTTCAGGAAGCATAAAAACAAACACAAACCTTCTCCTAAACACCATGCAACAGCCATGCAGCTTGGGGCCACCTGAGCCCCCTTCGGAGCCGGCAGGCACTGGCAGCATCCCGGGTCTCTGCTGTCATCAGTACCTGTGTCAAGAGGCCACAGAGCCGGGGCATCCAGAAGTGGTTCAAGGACATGGGGCATCGGAGGTCATCCAAGGAATCATCTGTGTCCATGCACAGTCATTTACAAGGGAGTCCCAAGCCTCAGGGCACTCCCCACCCCCACCCGGAATCCTGGAAGTTGCTTCAAGCAGCTAACGTCACCGAGGACACAGAACAGCAGACAACAAAAGAACCGGAAGATGTGGTGGGAGCCTGGCCGATCATGCATAGTTAAATGAACACAACAGATGTGCACTCAAAAAAAAAAAAAATCCAACAAGCTCTGGTTTCAAGAACATGCTCCCTAGGTAAACATGACCGCCACTCTCAGGGCCTTCACGGCTCCTGAGGGTCTCGTGCACGGCCCATTCCTTGAGATGGTGAGCAGGGAGGAGAGGGGACAAGCTCTGACATTTATAGGAGGACCAGGAAAACATGCAAAGGTGCAGGGCTCTGGCCGAAAATTCTGAAGTTCACTTACTGCCTGCTTTTGCTCTTCCTCCTAGAGGTGGTTGAAAATGAAAAAAGGTGGAGAGGAGAAAAAGAAAAAAAAAAAACAGAAGAATTAATGCTCATTGCCACAAACACTGGGAAGTGACGGAGGCAGAAGGCAAGCGAACCAGGACTCATCCATCACATGAGTGTCGGCCGAACACAGCCAGGGTTGGCTTCTCTGCCCTGCCTATTCAACTTGATGCTCACTTTGAGAGTTGGGAAGAGAGAACCTCAGAAACCATCTAGCGCAGCTTCCTTATTTATAGGTTAGAGAGGCCCAAGGAGCTTGACCTGCAGAAGTTCACGTAGCTATTTAGGGTCAACTGAAAGAGGAAGTTCATGAGCAAATCAAAAGTCCTCAGCACTGTTGCTGTGCAGCAACATCCACCTGTGCCGAGATACAGTTACCTGGACAGCGGTTGTCCAGGTGGGATGCACATACCTGTAGCAGCAGGCAGCAGCAACAGCACCAGGGAAGTTGTTAGAGGTGTGGATTCCGTGCCACACCAGGGGCCTCTACTGAACTGGGTGCAGCTTTCAGCTTGCTCTCTTGCTCATTATGAGTTCCCACCCAGCAACTCCTCCTGACTGCAGGGGCCCCTTCCTAGTGCTGAATGTGTGGGAGCCCCACTCCTCCACTGCTGCTCGATAGCTGTTTCTGGGACTGTTGCGCATACCCCCTTCTCTGGGAACCTGGAAACTGCTTCGGGACGCTGGAAAGCTTTCCCAAAAACAAGTTTCTCAACCTCACGGTTCCGTGAGCTTACGCACAATTTCTTGTGCACAGGAATAGGAAATCAAGATCCAGAGTGTTTCCAAGATACGTGGTAGTAATGGCACAATATGCTCAGCAGGTGCCTGCTAATCACTAGCTGGCCAAATGGACCCAGGACACGGGATGCACACTTTCGGATTTCTCTCCAATCAGCCCTCCATCCCCCTGTTTAACATGGGTCTCCTCACTTCCTCTTTCTATGCCTTACCAGGGGTAGATGTAGTCGGGGCCTGCTCTTCGCCCTGGTATGTTAATCTACAGTGACTGCAAAGGTCTATCTAAATCAGAAGTACCCACACAGGCAGTCTATACCGGCTGTGTGTCTAGGAGGTCTGGAGTGGACCGATGCTCCTGACCCAATGCGATGGCAAGGAAGATCTCAGCGAGACAAAGAAATTACAAAAAGGAGAGTATAAGTAACAACGTAGGGAGAAGTTGGTTTTGATTCCTGCCAGGGAGAGGTGTGGACTAAAAAATTGTGTGAGAAGACTTCAGTTCAGCCCGGAAAAGGACTCTCCATAGCCAATGCCAGCTGTCAGTTGCTCAACCAGCCCCAAACTCCCACAGGCCCTGGTGGGGTGCCTGACATTTCTGGAGAAGGGACACTTTCCGCCTTGGCTTTGGGTGAAAGGGGTTGGGGCTTGAGGAGCGACATCTTTTCCTGGGGCTGTACTTCCCTAGAGGGGGTGCGACACCTGTCTGTCTCACATGCACTTGGCAGAGCTAGCAGCTACAGCAGAACCACCGGACAACCGAAAAGAACGTGTTTCAATTGCTGGCGCAGAATTTCGGAACGGAAACGGAGATGGCAGGGGAGGGACGGGGGCTGTGCTGCTGGGCTACAGCTGCTTTCTGAGGTCAGAAGACGAGTGAGGGATTTCTTGGGACTGTCCCTGAGCCACTGCTGCACTGGCATGGACCTCCCCGGCCCTGGCTCAGCAGAATGGGGAGCTGCAGAGGGCAGAGCTTCCCGCATGCGTGTCTGGTGAAGAGCCAGAGTCACCGTATGTGCAATGGCCACATGTGTCAGCTTGAGATGGGGCTGGCAGACAGGGCAGGGCTGTGCTCTCAGGGCTTGGCAGGGTAAAGGGTACCTTGGACTGGTGCCATGTGAACTCACCAACAATTCCCCCCTCCCCCCACAACCATGCAGCCTCTAAGACTCTGTCAATATAGGGGTCAGGCCAAAGGCGTGCCACCTGGGGCTATCAGTCAATCACCTGCAATCAACAAACACTGTCCGAGGACATTGGGCCTGGCCAACAAGATTTAGTGGGGTCACAACACTTCAATCGTAAGGTCAAAACTAGAACAACTTCTGTCACCTAGAAACCTCTGAGCTTCCCTACCCCGGGCAGGAGGGTGGGGGGAGTAGTCAGCTGAATAGGCCCAAGGAAGGGCATGGCTGTCGTGGTTACTGATAGGACATTCATGCTAACGCCACGACAGTAGATGCAAATGTGGGACAAACAGAAAATGCGAGAAAAAGACATCAGGGGTATGAATTAGAGCCTGAAAAACCAACAGCCACTCCCTCTCTCCCAGGTGAGCCAGATGTTTGAGATGGGGTGGGGTGGGGGTTACCTAGCTACACTCACTCACTCATCTGGGGGAAGACGCAAGGAAAGACATGCATCCCACCCTTACACCAGAGAAGATCCCGGACCCGCCTTGGGAACAGTGGTCAGTCTATTCATCTCCCTTCACCAGATACCCAGTGGGACATCTTCCACTTACTTTGTTAAATAAACAGCTGTTACTCTTTAATCCTGCCATGTTCTCAACAAGGGTAAGCCTTTTGCTGAGAGGACAGGCCAGTGGTACAGTTGGTTAGGCCACCACCTGCAAAGCAGTCACCATTTCAGATATAATTTCCCAGTTAACACACCTGGGAAAGCAGTAGAAGATGGCCAGGCAAAAGCTATGAGCCTGCAGCTCCAACTGGGTCTCCCACAAGGGTGCAAGGGCCTGGATACTTGAGCCATCTTCTGCTGCAGGGAGTTGGATCCAGAGTGGAACAGCTTGAATCCAAAGAAACATCTATATAAGATGCTAGTGCCACAGGCATTAGCTTAATCAGCTGTACCACAACAGTGGCTCCAAATAGTTTTTTCTTTTTTTTTTTTTTAATAATTTAGAGGGCCGGGTGCAATAGCCTAGTGGCTAAATCCTCGTCTTGCCTGTGCTGGGATCCCATATGAGCAGTGATTCATGTCCTGGATGCTCCATTTCCCTTCCAGCTCCCTGCTTGTGGCCTAGGAAAGCAGTCGAGGACAGCCTAAAGCCTTGGGACCCTGCACCTGCATGGGAGACCTAGAAAAAGCTCCTGGCTCCTGGCTTTGGATCAGCTCAAGCTCTAGACGTTGTGGCCACTTGAGGAGTGAACCAGTGGATGGAAGATTTTTCTCTCTGCATCCCCTTCTCTATGTAAATCTGTATTCCTAATAAAAATAAATCAGTCTTTAAACATTGTAAGGTAATAGTTGGAAAGAGAAAGAAAGAAACAAACTTTGGGATTGGAGTTGTAGTATTAACTCATTCTGCTTTGCTGTTTTTTTTTTTTTCCCCAGATGTTCATTTGAAAGAGAGACAGATTTTTCTATCTACCCAAAAGAACGCCACAGCCAGGATCAGGCCTGGCCAAAGCCAGCAGTCAGAAACTCCTGATCTCCTCCTATGTGGACGGCAAGAACTCAAACACTCATTACCACCCACTGTTTTCTTTTAGGTATGTTAGCAGAGTAGCCAAGACCCAGTGCTGATATGGGATGCAGGCACCTGAAGCAGTAGCCTGGCCTGCTGCCTCATGGCTTTGGGCGTCTCTGCCTAGCTCATGGGTGCTGGCAGGGCGGGGACCACAGGTCACTGGAGGATGTGTGAGGCTCTCAGCTGGCAGCTCCAGGCAACACAAAGGGTGATCCAGGGGAAGGGAAGGGTACTGGTTACCCAGAGGGGATGCACTCCGTTAGCCCCTCCATTTGGCTTTTAGGTAACCACACGGGGGCACCTGGCCTTCTAGGTGTGGGTCATGTTTGACAGCGTTTTCTGAGAGGTTTCACACAGGAAGATGTGAGCAGATCCTCCCGTGACCACCTGTTCTGCAGGTGCACCGTTCCATGATAGCACACAGCTCCAACAGTTACATAAGCTATGTACCTTTGGAACTCCCCAGAGGGTTCATGGGAAACACGTAACTTTGAGAAACACTATGCATGCATTTCAACATCAATAATTTTAATCATTATTTGTTGTTTTAAATTACAATTATAAATTTTTTTTGCATGCTGGAGTAAACTGATCCTTCAATTCCACTTTCCCATGAACTTTCTCAAATGTCTTCATGTGTGTTTAAGCACAACTCTGCTACATGCTGGGGTGGCTGGGTTGCTTTCTTCCATTCAGATGCATGTGGCCAGCTTGCATGCATGTGGTTTTCTATACATCAGACCAGTTTAGACCCAGGGGATTTCTGAGAAGCCTGGCTAACAGGGTTGACATGTCTGCAAAGCAACCAGGGACCCAAGACTCAGCTCAAGACTCAAAGAAGTTCCAGAAGTTTGAAGGCACAAACACGGGTCTCCATTGCTAACAAACACCTGTTGGCTTCTGTGTGGAGGGACAGGTATGGAAGCAGAGGAGCTTGGAGGAAAGCCTCTCAGTGCTGGAGAGACCCAGTCCCCTAGGACCGTGCTGATCTGACATCTGTCAGCGTTCCTCCTTCCTCACCTGCCTTGCCTGTTTTCCTTCCCTGCTGCTTCGATATCTTCAGTGACCTCCCTCCAGCCCTGGTCATGTGAACGCCTCACTCAGTGAACTCTGTGCCATGTCAGGAGACCCCAAGAGCTCAAAGCACTGATGGGTGGGACCTCAGGAGCTAAGAGCGTGGGGGAGCACCCTGGCATTGTCTCTGCACAGCCGGGTGAGTGTGTCTGCTCAGCACCCAGGGGAAGACATTCGGATGCTGAGCGTACCTTTCTCTGTTCTGGGGTCCATGGGCTGTGGCGTACTTTACAACATAAATGAGTAAAACTTGAATTACTCTGGATTTATCAGGCCCCCAGTACACAACACCTTGAGCTTAAGGGCTGTTTAACTCCTGCGACAACAAAGTGGCTGATTAGAATTGGCATGACCAGGTTGGTTTGTGTTACGGTCCCTTCTAGGCAGCAACTGGACATCTAGTTCTGGATTCTGGAACACCCAGGGAAAGACAAACATAATGAAAATGGAGCTGAGCATACGACTGAGCACGCAAGGTCTCACCGACGTGGGCGGGTGGACAAAAGGCAATGGCAGGGCGCATCATCGTTCCCTCCTGCCCTTGGGCCTTCAGCTTAGCTCCTTAGATTCCAAGGTGTTCAGAACCCCCCACCAGCCCTCTGGGACCACCAGCCAGTCCACTGCAGATTGTGAGGGCTTCTCTGATTCTGAAACATGGTGAGCAAATGTCTGTGATAATCCCACCTCTCACCTGTGTATCCAAGCAAGTTCCACCGGCTCTCCTTCTCGGGAGAACCCAATACAGTCGGCTTCTGCACCTGTCACTTCTCAAGTATTTAGGCTGAATACTTGAGAACTATCTTACAAGAAACTTTAAGTAGTTGAGAAATATTCATTTCTACATCACTAATAAAGTCATTTTTTTCCCCCATCAAGCTCAAGGATTATCTGTTTGTACTCATTAATGTTTATCATCAGGCTTTCCATTAATTTCAGTGTTTTCTGTCATTAGGTTAGACATGAGAAGGAGCTGGAAACTGGCTCTGGGAAGTGACATGGAGTCCTGAGCCTCACCTGGTCCTAACAGGGAGAGGTTGCGGCTGTGCTAGGGGGCAGGAGAGGGGTGGCCAGGGCCCCGGGCCTTTACCTTCAGCAGTTTCATCAGCCCCTCCAGCTGCACCATCAGCTCCCGCCGGCTCTCCTGCAGCGCCGACATCCTCTGCTCCAGCTCGTCTTTCCTCTGCCTGTCCATGAGGAAAAGTCTGTCAGATATGCAACTTGGAAAGGAAAGGGACGGGACCCTTCTAGGAGGGCCCACCACTGGGTGACAGGTTTTCTAACTTGAACAATTCTTTTAGAGGCTGGCGTTCTAGTGTAGCAAAGCTGACACCTGCAACGCCAGCATCCCCACAGGGGCACCAGGCTCCGTCTCTAATCTGGCTCTCCGCCAATGGCTTGGGAAAAACAGTAGAAGATGATCCAAGTGTTTGGGTCCCTGTACCCAAGTACGAGACTTGTATCAAGCTGCTGGCTTCAGCCAGTGCTGGCCGATGCAGCCATGGGGGGAGTGAATTAGCAGATGGAAGATCTCTCATAATAAATAAGCTGATTTGAGACCAAACATGATATGTGAGTGGCTAAATCCTTGCCTTGCATCTGCTGGGATCCCATATGCATACCAGTTCATATCCCAGCTGCTCTACTTCCCTTTCAGCTACCTGCCTATGGCTAGGAAAGCAGTTGAGGATGGCTGAAAGCCTTGGAACCCTGCACCCAGTCAGAGACCTGGAAGAAGCTCCTGGCTCCTGGCTTCAGATTGGTTCAATTCCAGCCGTTGTAGGCACTGGAGGAGTGAATCCAAGATGGAAGATCTTTCTGTAATCTCCTTCTCTCTGTATATCTCCCTTTCCAATAAAAAAATTTTCAAAAAGTCATAAAAAAATTCCTGTTTTTTTTTTTTTTTAAAGATTTATTTATGTTTGGGCCTGCGGTAACCTAGCAACTAAAGTCCTTGCCTTGTACACGCCAGGATACCATACAGGGGAGGGTTCAAATCCTGGTGGCCCCACTTCCCATCCAGCTCCCTCCTTGTAGCCTGGGAAAGCAGTCGAGGACGGCCCAAAGCCTTGGGACCCTGCACCCGTGTGGGAGACCCAGAAGGCTCCTGGCTTCGGACTGTCTCAGCTCCGGCTGTTGCGGTCACCTGGGGAGTGAACCATTGGACAGAAGATCTTCTCTGTCTCTCCTTCTCTCTGTATATCCGCTTTTCCAATAAAAAATAAAACCTTACAAGATGATTTATTTTTATTAGAACTGGTACCCATGTGGGATCCCAGCGATGCACGGCAAGGGCTTTAGCTGCTAGGCTACTGCGCCAGGCCCATTAATTTCTTTTTTTACATCAAATTATTTGACAGGCAGAGGGGCAGAGAGAGGCTGAGAGAGTGGGACAGAGAAATCTTCCATTTGGCCATTCTCCAAATGGCTCTCAGGTCAATGCCAGGAGCCTGGAATTTCACCTTGGTTTTCTATATGGGTGTTAAGGGGCCCAACAACTCAAACTGGCACCTTGACCAGGAAGAGTGTCACTAAAGCAAACAGTGGCTTACCCCAGCACATCCCAACAGAGAGCTGATCTTGCTGCCATAGAAATGGTAATGCTGTTACCTGTTTTGTCTACCTTCTTCTGCTAATGTGAAGCTAACAGGTAAAAACGCTTTGCAAAAATGCTTTGATTTGATTCATGCAATTTTTGTAGCAGCCCTTCTCTCCCTGTACTCCTGAGCTTGGGTGAAATCTTTATTCTCAGTGCTGTGCGTTGCCAACTCCAAACAGGGTGGAAACGAGTGACTGCAGTCACAGACGACAACATGGCAGGACCCTACGAGTAACAGGGAAGGCAGGGATAGTTTGAGAAGGCTGCAAGTATTTCCATTAAGCTAAAAAAACAAACCACCTTAAACATTGTGTTATGTAGGAGTACACATATAGGTGACAACAGTGCATAAGAAAAACAAAGCAAGGACAAGCCAAATTCTGACTACAGGCTCACTTGCAGGGAAGGTGGAGGCAAGGGGGTGGAGACGACAGGGGCTGTTGGGGTGATGTAGGTTAAGTGGTGTGACTTCTGAGAGGAAGTGAGTTTATAGCTGTTCACTTTATGATTTTGCTTCGTGTCCCATACACCCGTTACATATATTATTCTAACAAACATACCACCACAAATAGTAATGGAAGGGAAAAGACAATTCTGGTGGTTAAGATTTATATTCATTATTATTCTTTGAAATTACTCATTTAAAAATAACATTTAAAAAATTTTACTGTCAGGAAGAGCGACAGAAGGAGATGGAGACAGAGAGAGAGGGAGGAAGAGAGAGTTTCCATTTGCCGGCTTATTCCTCAGATGAGGAGTTTGAAACAAGACCCCACCCATCCCAGCGGAGTCTCCCCCATGGGTGGCAGGGACCTAAGCACCGAGCCATGACCTGCTGCCTCCCAGGAAGGCAGCAGGAAGCTGGGCTGGAAGTAGAGGGGCAACGACCGAAACTGGCACTTTGGTTATACAAGACATGCACATCCCAAGTGGCAACAAACATCACCTCTTCATGTGTCCCTTGACACACAAACTTGACTTTTTTTAAAGAGTTATTTCTTTTTATTGGAAAAGCAGATATGCAGAGAGGAGGAGAGACAGAGAGGAAGATCTTCTATCCGATGGTTTACTTCCCAAGTGGTTGTAACGGTTGGAGCTCAAACTACAAAACCAGGGGCCAGGGACTTCTTCCGGGTCTCCCACATGGGTGCAGGCTCCCAAGGCTTTGGGCCATCATTAACTGTTTTCCCAGGCCACAAGCAAGGAGCTGGATGGGAAGTGGGGCCACCTGGATTAGAACCAGTGCCCATTTGGGATCTGGGCACGTTCAAGGCAAGGACTTTAGTTGCTATGCTACTGTGCCAGGCCCAACATGCAGACATTCTTAATGTAGATGAATTTACCTACTTTTTTCATAGTTGATAATTTGGAAAAATGACTTTCTATTCTAAAATCCTAAGGAAATTCTCCTTGTTCCTTCCCCAAGACTTTTTGTTTTCAAGCTTTGTCTTCATGTTGAATTCACCTGGTGTTGGTTTCTGTACACAGTATCAGTCAATATGCTTGTCCATATGCATCAACATGCATTAAACGTCCCCCTTCCTTCAGTGATCACAAGCACTGTGTTGGAGACTCAACACTGACTTCTCAAGCTCCAGATGGCCCTGGGTTTAGATTTAATCCCTGCTTCTTGTTGCCTTTTGGGGATGTCCCTGGCCTTGGCCTGTCCCCTGATTCCATATTTGGGTCCTCCCAGCTTCTCTGAGCACTTCCAACTAGCCCAGTTTCGATGACACATATTCTCCCAGATGGCCATGTTCTGCTTCTGCAGATGTGGAGAGCCCCTTGTGCCTATGCTTAGAAGGGGAAAAGAGAGCTGGGGTGTCGAATACTGGCGGCCTCAGGTTACCCTCTGTGCCAGTCAGCAGCTTGGGTTTTCCCAACTGCTCTAACAGCCCCGCTGATCCCTCAACTGGTGATCGTGAACCAGAGAACAACCAGAATCTCAGCCCAACTAACACACAAACCAAAGAGGAACCGAATCGGGGGATCTCTAATGATTCTCACCTACACAGTTTAAACTCTTTTTGACTTTGCTTAAACAGTGGAGTATCTATGGAAAGACAATTATCTTTATTTTATAGGAAAACGAATCATGGTAGAGACTAAGTGACTCTAAGCTGAGATAATTAAAGAAAGAAAAGGTGGCTTTGGCTGTAAACAATCCCAGATGCTAGCACATTACAAACAGCTGCGGACTACCAGATGCCACAAACTGGGCAGAAAGAACCCGATTTGTAAATCTGGAGACCTGGTGAGACACTGAACTTGGTTTCCATCGCCCCTTCTCAACAGGAGATGTGTGCATGTCTTTTGGAGACAGGTGGGACATCAGATCCTACTACTGGACCAGCCTACCTACATGGGATACTCCACTTCCTCTCTGAGCCTGTGCCCTCAGTGTCTCCACCCCTGGGGACAGCTGGCAGTTGTGGGGGCGTGGGAGGGGGAATCCCCGCTGCAACATGGCCTGGCCCCGCGGAGTCCCCACTCACCTCAGCAGCCGCAGCTCAGCCAGCAGGGTGGGGTTCTGCTGGGCCTTCTCGGGTGTCGGCTGGGAGGCCTGCTCATGCTCCAGGCGCAGGCGCTGGATCTCCTGCAGGATCTCCCTGTGTACAGGTTTGGGTAAGACAAGGGCTGGTAGCCTCCGCTCCCTGTCCTGTCCTTTCCAATCGCCAGCATGTGAGGAAGGAGCTTTCCTAAGCTGGGGTTGCAGACCAGGTCCCTCAACAGTCCCTTGTGGTAAGAAAAGTCAAAGGGAGGGTTCCAGAACTTGAAGTCTCCCCAGAGGAAAACGAACCCTGGTGCTCGTCTCCCAGGCTGACTTTTTGGGGTCTTCCCTCCCACCACCACCTCCTGACCCTGTGGCCACCAGCTAGCCAGGGCTTGGCCCATTTGGTCCAGGTTCCTTCTCTGACTGGCAGTTTGTGTCATGTTGTCTACCCTCCAATCCTTAAGGAGCCTTTTTTTTTAAAAAAAAATTAATTACATTGCATTATGTGACACAGTTTCATAGGCTCTGGGATTCCCCCAACCCCTCCCTGTGATCTCTCCCCATGGTGGATTCCTCCACCTTGTTGCAGTATTACAGTTCAAATTCAGTCAAGATTCTTTCATTGCAAGCATATACCAAGCATAGAGTCCAGAATCTTATTGTCCAGATAAATTCAATGATTTCTTGGGGAGACCATCTCTGGTCTGAAGGTAGAGCTGGCAGAATATCATCCCGATCAATTAAAAGCCACAACATAACATCAACAACAATTTACAACATTATGGAATTAGTTTGACATGGTATGAGTAACCAATATGTTAGAAATGCAAGTTCTTAACCGCATCGTGTGACTACTGCATTGACATTTCAATTTTAGTTTATATACAACCGGCTTCTATACACCTTAAAATGGCTTTAGATTACTATTCAGCTGTCTCGTGTTTATTTTCATTTTAGCATTTAGCAGTTTATAGTGTTGAAGCATAATTTTGCTGGACTTGGCAGATTTTAGGATAGTCTCGACTGACTCATAACTCTAAAAGGGCATATGTCAACAGTTGAGGTACAGAACAGTTTTAGGAGGGGTGTGCAGAAAAATCCTCAATACCTTAGTGAGGAGTAACTAATCTTTGTGTCCTTGTCCTACCTAGTAAGGTATGTGTGAGTCCACGCTGACCGTTTCCTGTCTGGTTCTAAGCTTTCCTTGTTGTTCTCTGTTGATGTATTCTAATTTTTTTGGGGGGGGGAGGGGCAGGGGGCCTCTGGAGTGACCCTAATGGTCATTGCAAGAGAGGGTGGGGATCCAAAGTTGGAACTAAGTAAGGACCAGAGAAAGCTCCTCTCCCTAGTCCTGAAGGGAACTTTATTATTATTTTTTTAAACTGTTTTAGGAGTCAGCAGACAGTCCTGGAGGTAAAGGGGTCAGGACAAGATGAAAATGGCACCAGAAAGGACAGTGGAAGAATCATGAGGGCAACCAGGGGCCAGGGGGCGGCCTGGGGGAAGCAGTGATTAAGAGGGGCAGGTGCATGTGGCTGTGAGTGCCCAGATCATGGTCAGCCACAAGTGAATGTACAGGGCGCATCCCGGATGTGGGCTGGCCTTTGCTCACGGGGGGCGGGATCTTCCTGCTGAGTGGTCAAAAGCCACACAGCACTCAAGGAAAGGCACCCCGCTTGTACCTGCGGGATGTGCTCATACCTGTTTTTGTTTTCCAGTTCTGCAATGAGCTGTCGTTGCTGTTGGTTGGCATCGAAGTTGAAGCTCAGGTCGGCAGGAGGACGGGTCTACAGGGGGGGAGAGAGAGCGAGAGCGATGTTTTGATCTATGTCCACCCAAGGCACTATAATGAGCCAGATTTCAAAAACAGACAGCCACCTGTGTGTAAGGTACAGCCTGGTGAGTCTTGGTGGGTTCCCACAGTTGTTAGGGCAGCTGCTTCAGTGACTTCACCACACAGACCCCTTTGTGTGGGGGTTTCCTGTCTGCTGCCCCCCGCCCTGACCACAGGTCATCACTCCATTTGCTGCCTGTTTTTTGTCTTGTCTAGAAATTCATCTCAATGGAATCACACAAGAGACAGCCAGGTTTCTGAGGCTGAGACAGCAGCTCCACCCTCCCTGCGCCTGGGCAGTGTCCTGTTGTCCAGCTCAGGGCCGTCACAAAGCAGGCTGCTGTGAACTTTCAGGTACAACACATGTTGGCAAACACCTGGGGGCGCCATGTGCGTTCTATGGTGACTCTGGGCCGATCTCTGAGGAATGGCTCAACTGCTTTCCAATCCCACACTCCTGCCAGGACAGATGAGGGTCCTACTGCCATCACATCCTTGCCAACACCTCTTGGTAACTTTCCCGTTTTCATTGTTCTAGTAGGGCGTGAAGGTCATCCATGTTTTTTTTTTTTTCTCAAGAAACTGAGACATCATCGATATATCATAAAATTCACGCTTTAACATTTACAAATCAGTTTTTTAGTGTATTTATGAGATCATGAGACTATTGCCGCTAATTCCAGAATATTCTGAGCCCCAAAAGGAATCCTTTGCCCATTAGTAATCACTCATTTCTCCCTTCCCCATGTCCTCACACCCACTATTCTACTGTCTATATTCTTTTTCTACTTAATGAATTTGCTTCTTCTGGGAATTTCTTTTTTTTTTTTTAAGATTTATTTTATTTTTATTGGAAAGGCGGATATATGAGAGGAGAGACAGAGAGGAAGATCTTCCATCCAATGATCCACTTCCCAAGTGAGCGCAACGGCTGATGTTATGCTGATCCAAAGCCAGGAGCTTCTTCTGGGTCTCCCATGCGGGTGCAGGGTCTCAAAGCTTTGGGCTGTCCTCGACTGCTTTTCCGGGCCACAGGCAGGGAGCTGGAAGGGAAGCGGGGCTGCCGGGATTAGAACCGGCGCCCATATGGGATCCCGGGTGTGCAAGGCGAGGACCTTAACCACTGCTCCATCGTGCTGGGTCCTCTTCTGGGAATTTCACACAAATGGAATCAGACATCAAGTGACCTGTTTTTTAAATATTCATTTATAAAAAAATGACAACAACAAAGAAAAATAAATATTCATTTATTTATTTGAAAGGCAGAGATAGAAGAGACAGGGAGATCTCCCATCTGCTGGTTCACTCTCCAGATGGCCATAACAGCCAGGGCTGGGTCAGGCTGAAGTTAGGAACTTCTTTCTTGAGTTCAGGGGCCCAAGTAGCTGGGCCATCTGCTGATGCCTTTCCTTTTCCAGGCACTGGACAAGAAGTGGAGTAGCCAGAATAGGAAGTGGTGCCCACGTGGGATGCTGGGACCGCAGGCGGTGGCTTTACCTGCAGTGTGCCAATGGTTGCTCCCTCTATGTAACCTTTTGTGTCTTGCCTCTTTCACTCAGCAAAATGCTTTCAAGGTTCATCCACATTGTAGCGTGCATGTCAGTATTTCATTCTTCCTTATGGCAGAATACTATTCCACTATTTAGAGGACCCATTTTTATTTAGCCTTTCAACAACTGAGAGACATTTAGATTACTATGCTGAGTAATTCTATGAATACTTAGGTAGATGGTTATATGTTTTTTTTTTTAAGATTTATTTATTTTTTATTGGAAAGGCAGATATACAAAGAGGAGAGACAGAGAAGAACATCTTCCATCCAATGGTTCACTCCCCAAGTGGCCGCAACGGCTGGAGCTGAGCCAATCCGAAGCGAGGAGACTTCTCCGGGTACAGGGTCCCAAAGTCTTGGGCTGTCCTTGACTGGTTTCCCGGGCCACAAGCAGGGAGCTGGATGGGAAGCAGGGCCGCCAGGATGAGAACCAGTGCCCATATGGGATCCCAGCGTGTGCAAGGCAAGGACCTTAACTGCTACACTATTGCTCCGGGCCCGATGGTTATATATTTTTGCCAAGCTTTTTTTTTTTTTTTTTGTCAAGTCTTGTGCTGCCCGTCTCTTGTCTCCTGACCATAATTGTGCTTGTGGGTGGGAGGTGAGAGCTCACAGTGGTTCTATCTGTATTTCCCTGATGACTAACAGAGAGCCACGGGCTCACTGGCTCTCTTGGTGTCTTCTCTGGAGAAATCCTGTGGTTGTGATTTGCATATCTGCTGACTCTGATGGGAGCTGGTTCACGCGGCACACAGCAGGGAAGGGTCGGCTGATGCTTCCTTGTGCTAACTGGAAGAGGCTCTCGGGCAGAGCCACGCTGCACTCCGCATGTTTTCAGTTCTGCTTCAGATATTACTGCTGTAAAGCAGAAAGCTGGTTTCCCGTCTAGAGCTGGAAGATTCAACAAGTAGTTCTCCCCATGAGAGGAAATGGCATAGAAAACAAAGGTGGGAAGTTGTTTTTTTTTTTAAACTAAATTACCAAATATTTGTCATAATATGAAAAGCAGGCTAATTGACAGAGAAAGCTTCCATCTACTGGTCAACTCCTCCAAATGCCCCCAGTGGCCAGGACTAGGCCAGACAAAAGCCAGAGTTCCACCCAGGTCTCCTGTGTGGGTGGCAAGGATATAGGTATTTGTGCCATCAGTGCTGCCTCCCAGGGTGTGGCGCTGGCAGGGACCTGAAACTCAGGGCAGAACTGGGACCCAAGCTCAGGCCCTCCGTGCAGGACGTGGGTGCCCCAGGCAGCATGGCAGCCACTACACCAATCAGGCCCCCATTTTAGAGCAGATGGGCAGGATGCCTTCTCTTCCTTGAGGGAAGCCTGGACTAGCAGCCAGCTGAGGAAATCTGCTGGGTGCTGTTATGTCCAGGGAGAGGCCAAGCTGAGCCTTGGAGCAAAGCCTGCTTGAGGCTGAAGAAGGCTGGCTATGAAGAATGGGTCTGCAGTTCAGGGAGAATGGAGCCCAGAACTCATGGCTCTTTGTTTGAGAGGGATCAGAGCAAAGCACGATGAGAGAAGCGGCTCTGGAAGGCCTAACAGACATGAGCCCTGTGGTCCTGCACCAGGAGGGCGCCTGCCAGGCAGAGGCATTTCTTGCAGAAGAGGTTACCACAGCAATGGGGCGACTGGCGAGTGATGCCCAAGCTCATCGGATCCCTTACAGAGCCATGTTGGCTCCCAGAAATGCCTTCGCTCGGGTATGAAGAGGGGCTGCTAAGTTCCAACTCTGGGAGTAGCTGGTGCCTCCTGTGAAGTGCACTCCCACACCTGGGCACCACGACCTGTGATGGTCCCCTTCGCCCAACCCAATTTCAAACAGTCGAGTGTGCACTCAATAGCAGAGAAACTTAGGATTTCGTAAAATCCTATCTTAAACACCTCAGTGTTCCTTTAAGGAGGGGTGGTGTGAAGCCATTGCGGCCATTTGGGGAGTGAACCAGCAGACAGAGGTCTCTCCTCTCTCTGTAGCTCTGCCTTCCAAATAAAAACGGCATGCATCCATTTGTTCAATAAATGGCTCCTGAGGTCCTACTATGTGCCAGGTACTATTTCTGCAATGGGGGTGGGTGTTGGGACTAATACACTCCCTGCCATCCTGAGTTTACAGGACACTGGGAGAGATATCAGAGCTCAGAAAGCAGAGGTCAATGTGTGGAAGAACTACAGGGCTGTGCGGCAGAGTGTGGCCTGTAAATGAGGTGTGCATCAGTGTTCTCAGATATGGTGGGACCAGCAAGCAAGTCAAGACCCAAGAAGGGAGGAGGGTCCAGGGCAGTGGCAAGGGCCAAGCACAGGCCCTGTAATGCTCAGCCAGGCCACTGACGGGTGCAGAGAGCCCTGCGGAGCTCAGGCTGGCACTGATGGGGCACTGGACCAGGCTGGGCTGGGCTGGGGTGCTTACCCAGAGAGGAAGCCCTGGCCAGTTATGCAGTATGCCATGGATAGCTGTTTTCATTTCAGCAGAATGTGGTATGCAGCCACTGCAGGGCTTTCCACAGGCGATGTGGAATCTGATCACTCTACGTTTTCATAAATAAATGACAGAATCACAAGTGGGGAAGAATTCAAAACAATGTAAGCAAATATCCAACCTTTAAGGACATGGGAGCTAAAACCTGCACCCTTCATTTGACAAGTACCTTCTAGCTCCAAAGAGGAAAGCATACCCAGAGGTATGCATCCAAAAGCCACTGCCCCAGTCAAGGGCAATTCCAGTAGTAGTAGTAGTCAGCTGGTCAATAACTGATGAGCCCTGTGGACAGGATGTGCCTTGACATGGCATGAGGACAATGGCGCATCACTTCTGCCTGCTCCAAACCACTAAGTGCTGACAACCGCCACAAATCCAGCTAAGGGGTGAGCTACAGCACACCTGACCAGCGCTCCTCAAAAACTGCCCAAATCATGAAAAACTACAAAAATCAGAAATTGTGTCACCCAACAAGGGCCCAAGGAGGGATGGCAACCCCGTCTGATGTGGTATCCTGGACAGAAACTGAGAACCCTGGCAGCAGCGCTATGGTACTGCGGGTAAGGCTTCTACCTGCCATGTTGGCATCCCATATGGGCACTGCTGCTCCACTTTCCATCCAGCTCCCTATTAACGTGCCTGTGGAAAGCAGTGGAGGATGGTGCAGTGTTTGGGCCCTTACACCCATGTGGGCGACCTGGCTGAAGATCCTGGCACCTGGCTTTTGCCTGGCTCAGCCCCAACTGCTGTGACCTTTTGGGGAGTGGTCAAGCAGATGAAAGACATTTCTATTTCCCTATTTTGCCCTCTCTTTGCAACTCTACCTTTGAAACAAATAACATAAATCTTAAGAAAACCCCACAAAACTTGGAACACTGAAAATCTGAATATAATCTTGAGCTTACTATGTGTTAATATTGGCTCA